AACCATTAACTTTAAATAAAATTAGGTCTAAGGACTTGAAATCTCTTTTTAATATATGTATATATTTACTAAAACTATTTTAAGAAATTTATATAACTTTTTTTTATTAAATTGTTGTCACAATTTAAGTGATTTTTTTATAAAAATAGAAGTCATTGATTTTATTTAAAAAAAGAGAAATAATATCTATCATTACAATAAACATATAATTAGGACATATCACATAATCAACATAAGAAACTAGTCACTTGAGATCGTATAAGGACTGTACAAAGAAAAAAGATTAAAACTCATCTAAAAAGCTCAAACAAAATATAGAAGCAAACACATATGACTGTATCGGCAAACGACCCACAACAGGAGATCAAACTATTGAAATTAAACGTCATGAGAAAAATATCTTTGAACGCAAACTAGGTATCCAAATCCAATTTGAGGGTTTAAAGCATGGAAGATCAACATGATAGTAAATAAGTATCATCTTGATTGATCGATGCGTCGTCAAATTCAATACTGAAAAAATTAAATAAAAAATTGTCAAACGATTGAAAATGTGCCAAAAGTCAGAGAAAATTGTGTCATAAAGATATACGAAAGTATGCCTTAAAGATAGAGTTACTGAAAATAAAAAAACAAAGAAAAAACAAGATGTGATATAAAAAATAAAAATCCAGGAATATAGACAACCGACAACTAACACTAATACCAATATCGTCGCCTGTTCAAGAAAGAAGAAAAGAAAGAAATAAGAAACAAGCTGCAAGAGGAAAAAAAATAGAGTTTTAAAATTTTGCGAGTTGCATTTTATAATGTAAGTGATTTCAATTTAATTCCTAAAGTCAATTCAAATAATATAGGAATAAAGTATTTTTATAAAGACGTTAATAAAAACACTATAAATGAAAAATAAAAATATCAAAAGCAATATTGAAAAATATAAAAATGTTAGGTTTGAAATTTTAAACTATACTTGTTAGGCCTTTAACATTTTTACGGGCATTCCTCTTATAAAATAACTAATAAAATTATAAAACTACTTATATATTTTGGATTTTTATATAATTTATTTCTTGAACAATATCACGCTTTATTAAGAGATTTCTGAATTTTTACACGTTTAGTATTATATTTTAAAAAATATTTTTACTCGTTTTAAATCGATATTTTATCTATTGTACTTCATTAAAAGGTGAACGAAGAGATATAAATGTAAATTGTGATCATTAATATCAAGAGACTTGATTCTATGACATTACACTTAATTGGGAGAGCTATCATTTAAATTTAAGGTCATTAGCTCAAATCCTTCGGCGTAAATGTTCACATTTCGTGCCTATGCGACTATTCATTTTATGAATATTTCGTTATTATTTGTATTATCGAGTGAATTACTAAAAATATCCTTCAACAAAAATATGATAGATAAAATATTGAGAGCATAAATACCATGAGAATACAATACAAAATGTGTTGGTCCAAAACCTTAAAGAAAAAACACTTTGAAAATGAATTATTGGCATAATTTATGTGCAACACATATGGTGTTGGATTATGCAAAATAATGGTGCAATGTGAGAGATTCTCTCAAAGGAAGCAAAAATCGACAACTTTGAAAATAAGGCATTGAAGCAAATAATATTTTGAGCACATGGTTCCAGATTGGACCGTCGTGGCCTTATTTTGTTTATTCATACTATTAAGGACAAAATTTTATGAAACACCAACCCACAAGGTCTACCGTCCAAACCTTGACTTTTATTTTAGGTGTAAACACTCAAGTTACCCACTATTTCTTTCAACTTGTTTTCTTTTACGAATATGAAATCTTGTACAATTAATTTTCTAAGTTTTAAATATTAAGCAATTTCGACTTATATCGATGTTAATTTTTATATACAAACTCATCAAATGATTTCAGTAATAAATTTTTTTTTAAATTTTGAGTTCGAATAATTATATCAACATAATTTCAACGTTGTCAATTAATTAATAAAATTATAAATAAATATTATCTCGTCCGATTACATATTTTTGGCCATAGAAGACCCATTGATGTCAAGTCCCCATTAATTTAAATCGATTAGTTGGATGGTCCTTTTACATTCATCGATGACAAGTTAAATTTATTGACTCAACTAATTTGAAAGTGTTAATGTTATAAAATAGATTCTACCCATAAATATTATATTTTTTAAAGATTTTATTTAATTTTATCTTTTGATAAAATGAATATGACTATTATTGTACTTGTCGAGGATAATCCAAAATAAATATCAACATATATTATGCCATATTTTAACATTTTATTACTTGAAATGCAATCATCATCGATTAAGGACCTAACTATAGTGTAATAAATTTAAAAGTGATCATGCATTTCTAATCCATAAAGATGAAATGTATGTGTTTCAGATCTTCATTTTTTTTTCTGTGGCTACCGAAACTAAAGTTTACCTTAAAACTCTAATCAATTGTGATATATATAAAAAGTAAACTTCACTTAAATACTAAAGGATCGGGTCGAGTTTTTTTAATGTGATGTTCAGATCGGGTTCGAGTTTAGGGTAAAAATACCCGATCCAACCCGACATGAAAATATATATAATTTTACCTTATATATTTATGTATAATTATAATAATACACCTCTATATATTATTTTTTTTCAATTAAGTCACTATTTTTATTGAATAAAAAGATGTCTTTTATTATTTCAGGTCGGGTCGAGTCAGGTCGAATTTTTAAGTTATATATCGGGTCGGGTTTGGGTCGAGTGAAAACTTATTTTGGTCGAGTCGGGTTGAGTCTCGGGTGGATGACTCCTTGTTCTCGGGTCGGGTGGACCAAAAACCCAACCCGACCCATGTCCATCCCTAGATCGAAATACAATCATTTTCATGTTAAATTTAAATAGTAACATAAATTCATTATTAAAAATATATTAAAATAACAATAATTAACAAAAATATTATCAATAAAATTGGTTTGTTTATCTTGTATGTTAAATAAGTTGAAATAAGTTGAAATGTGTGTTGCGTTTAACCCTTATATTTTTATTTTTAAATTATAAAATAATAAAAAATAATATACGAATTATGTGAAAACAATAATTAAACTAAACAGTATTAAATAACTATAAATACTAAATAATTACAAAAATAAATAAAAATTATTAACATTTTGTTTTAATATTTTAATGATTTTTGATACATCAAGATTCATATTGAATAGTACGTGCAGACCGTACATCAAGAAATTAATCAGAATAAAATATTTGTCAATCTATTTGATTAAGTAGAGATGCATTGCATTTTCAAAATAAATGTTAAGATTAGAACTTATACAATATAAAATAATATAAATATCTTTAATCACTCGATTAATTAATAGAGCTCATAATGAAATATTTATTTTTTATATATATATATATATATATAATTAAAACAATTAAATAAACACAAAAATACCTTTCTAAATGTTTTGTTGTTGTTGTTTTTCTTTTAAAATTTTATAAATTTAAACTGTTTGCCAGTGTGAAGAAGTGGTGATGTGTGGTTTATATAGACAGACCATCTCAAAAATTTAATTTTTTAATCAAAATATAATTAGAAAATCACAGCTCTGTTTTTTTTTTTTAAATATTTTACGGAAAATGCGAATTCAATCTACATCTTCCCTTTTAACCAATTAAAATTGAGAAACCTAAAACACTTTATCACGTCAGATAAAGACATGTCCAATTGAGAGTATTTTTATTAAAATACTATCAATTAAACGAGTCTTTATCACATGTGAGCGAAAATTATATTATTCCTTTAAATAACTTTTTTTGATAATATATTTATAATTAATTTAAATATAGATATTATTCTCATAGAAGTATCTTAATTTTAGCAATAATTCATACTAGTTAAATTAAAAATACTTAAAATGATCATTAATTTAGGATGTTAATATTTTAATCACGCAAAAAAAAATTCTTCATTTTAACTACGCAACTTCTAAAACGCTACCGTCTTAGTCAAACAACTATTAATTCTCTCTAACGACGCTTACCGTTTTGATGAGAATTAAGCGGGAGTAATGTTGTATTAAAGAGGTGTATAACAGTATAAAAGATAAAAGTGAGAATTAAGTGGGAATAATGTTATATTAAACGTTATAAAAAAATATTGGATAAAATATACAAATGGTCCACTATAAGGTGTTATTTTGTTGTGTCCCCTAACTATTAAAAATTATAAAATGATATTCTAACTATAGAATATTATTTTGTTGAGTTTCCTAACTATTAAAAATTACAAAATGATCATTCGATTATTTATATGTTCCAAACTCATCATTTTCCATTTAAAAAAATTGACGGCCGTTAGGGTTGGATGTTAACCTTTTGATTGGGGTATAATAAAATCTGATCTCAGAAAAGTTTGAGATATATTTTGTAGATCGACTCTCCATCAATATTATACCGTCGAGTCATTGCTTAAAATATTATGTCGACGAGTTAGAATTTGAAAGCAACTACGATGTAAATAGATATTATTAAAACATGATTTTATCATATCCTAGTTAAGAAATTAATGTCAATCTTATACGGTTGTCATTTTTTGTCGAAAAAGGACGTTTGAAACTTATGAATAATTGAATGATTATTTTGTAATTTTTGATAGTCGGAAGACTCAACATAACAATGTCCTATAATCAAAAAATCATTTTATAATTTTTTATAATAAGATGACTCAACAAAATAACATCACATAATATGAATTATTTGTATACTTTAGCCAAAAATATGATATCAAAGCTTTTTTTTTTACGTGCATCACTGTCTGTTAACTCTAACAAACACTCTTTTAACTCTACACTTATACTGGAGCCGTACAATAATATAAACATTAAATAAAAAAGTAAAGTCCAATGAAAACAGCTCAACTCACTGATTTACTCAAACTCAACTCACCTGCATCACCACACCGCCAGCCGAACCATAGCTGGATGATCATGCTCCTCCCCTTTTCCTCTCGCAAAAACAAAAGAAAAATATTAGTCCCCACAACAAATATCATCTTCTCTTCCCCAGCAAAACTCACAATGCCTCCGTCCCCCTTCTTCTTCTTCTTCTTCTTCTTCTCCTTGCTGTTTCTGCCATGTCAATCACTTCACATTCACAGCCGTAGGATCCTCCATCAACCCTTCGTCCCCGTCGGATCCACCCCTCTGCCTCCATCTCCTTCCCCTCCTTCTTCCAAATACCCTTTCTCTTCTTCTTCTTCTTCTTCTCCTCCTCCCGACTCTCCTTTCTTCCCTTCTTTTCCTTACTCTCCCCCTCCTCCTTCCCCTTCCGCTTTCGCTTCTTTCCCCGCCAACATTTCCTCCCTCACTCTCCCCCACGCTTCTTCTCCCACCCACAACTCTCACATCATCTTCATCCTCGGCGTCGTTGCCGCCTCCCTCGTCGCTGCCTTACTCCTCTTCTTCTACTACCGCCACCGCCGCAAGCAGAAACGTGGCTCTGTCGACGATAACAAGACCTTGACATCCAATAATAGCAGTAGGTTGTACCCCAACAATGTTCTTGCTGGTAAGCTGAGGACGACTTCCACCACCAGTTCCGAATTGCTTTATTTGGGTACGTTGGTGAATTCACGAGGCGGAGTCGACGGTGGTGGATCCAATAATTCGCCGGCTAATGCTAGATTTGATCCTAGAAAAATGGACTCTCCGGAGCTCCAGCCGTTGCCGCCGTTGTCTCGACAGAGCACCGGTCGGAACTTCCGAGCCGGTGACGTTCAGTCGGTTACTGAAGAAGACGAAGAGGAGCATTTTTATTCACCGAGAGGATCTTCCGGCGGTCGAGATAGTCCTAGTGGGAACGGATCCAGGTCAAGAAGAGCATTTGCGGCGATTGCTGTAAAAAGCATCGAGACTAGTAGTACTTCGTCGAGTTCATCTTCGAGTTCAAGTTCACCCGCCAGGTCTAAATCACTCAGTATATCTCCGCCGGTTAGTGCGAGTCCAGTAAGATCCAACCCGAAATCTCCTGAACTCGTTCACGTTCAACCTTCTTTCGCTCCGGCGAGGGTTTCAGCTGATTCGCCTCGAGTTTCCAATGCTTCCAATGGAAATGTACGATCTCCCTCGCTGTCTTTAACTTCAACATCACCAAACGGGGAAGAATCAAATAATCGAAACATCCAATCTCCCTCGTTGTCTCCGATGTTCATCCAGAACCCAGATTCATATGTTGTCCCCGATCGGAACATTGGGTCACCTTCGCTGTCTTCGACTAGTACTCCAAATAGAGCGTTGATAGAGAAACTAGATGCATCGATTAGAAATTTCAAGCATTTGGTTCGAAATATGGGGACTTCATTGGTTTCAGCTTCAGCTGCTAGTAGTTCACCGGCCAAAGAATCTCCCGTTAATGATCTGGGTCGAAACCAAACCAGGTCGCCATCAGTTGGTTCCGCTTCTACTTCACCTGAGAGAATGGTTAACGATTTGAATCCAATTGTTAGGTCTCCTTCACTGTCATCAGCCTCTACATCACCAAAAAGAGCGTTGGATGAGAATGAGCGGTCTCCTCTACTATCATCGGCTTCATCATCATCTGACGAAGTTTTCGAGAAAAACTCAGAGAAGTCGCCATTGGTGGTTGCTTTTTGGGATTACAATAGGAGTTCTTCTTTCTCATCTTCAGCTTCTTCATCACGAGGAAGAGATCTGGAGAACGGTCCTGATGCATCTCCTGTAAGAGTTAGCGGAGCTTCAGAGAAGCCTATGTTGACTCCACCACCGCCGCCACCTCCTCCTCCTCCAAAGCAACGAAGGCTCTGGGAGAAACCACTTTCATCTGTATCTTTTGCTAAACAAATATCGAGACCGCCTCCTCTTACACCTCCTTCGATGCCGTTTATGATGCAAAACCCAATTAGTATTACTCAAGACGACTTGCCTACTAGGTCCGAGTCTGAGGCAGTGGAGGATGGGGAGGCGGAGGAAGCTTCAAAACCCAAGTTAAAGCCTTTACACTGGGACAAAGTACGAGCCAGCTCCGATCGCGAAATGGTGTGGGATCACCTCAGATCGAGCTCATTTAAGTATGATTTCAACCTCTACTTATCTGTATACTTTGGAGATCTTATATAGTTCTTTTAGATCAAGTTTTTTGGTGCGAGTCTTACGTCTTTCTTGAATAATTTGTAAGAGTTTGGTTTCTGCAGGTTGAATGAGGAGATGATTGAAACACTATTTGTCGCAAATACACCGACTACGAAACCAAACCAAGCCACTCCACGTTCTGTTCTTCCATCACCAAACCAAGATAACAGAGTGTTGGATCCCAAAAAGGCGCAAAACATTGCAATTTTGTTAAGGGCACTCAATGTGACTGTCGAGGAAGTTTGTGAAGCCCTTTTAGAAGGTAATAAAATTGTTGCAATTATGGTTCAAGTTTTGTTGATATTAAAGACTTAAAATGTCCATAATTTGCACAAAGGTCATTAAGCTGCTGGATATGGTGATGATCATATTTATTTGTACTTTTGTCCCTTGAGCTTTACTTAATGAGCGTTTTCTGCTGAAGTTGTCACTGATTTTAGCGGTTTTGTTCCTTGAATTTGCCTTGCCTATAAATGATCTCAGTTGAGCTTTAATATCCTTGTCATGACCAGTCATACGATTTTCTATCTTTGGAGTTGTCAGATATGGGCACTAAAATTCACATTTATGGTGATACAGGGAGTGCAGATACACTTGGCACTGAACTTCTTGAAAGTTTATTGAAAATGGCTCCAACGAAGGAGGAGGAACGTAAATTGAAGGACTACAAAGATGATTCACCAGTCAAACTTGGTCCTGCCGAGAAATTTTTAAAAACAGTTCTTGATATACCCTTTGCATTTAAAAGGGTGGATGCAATGCTCTACATAGCTAACTTTGAGACTGAAGTTGAATACCTTAAAAAGTCTTTTGAAACTCTAGAGGTAATTTAACACGACTCCGTCTGTCTGGCTTTCACATTTCCTTACTTTCTTTCTCCTGCATATTTTCTTTCTGCTATTGTTGATCGGTTGTTTCTTCCTGTATTAAAATGTGAATACTCATTCACCTAACATATCCTTCATTGTGGTATAGAATTTTTCTGTACCTAACATTACTGCTATCCTTTTGACTATTAACAATCTTTTATCACAGGAATGACTAATATGTTTACTATAGTAACCATTAAAATAGTAAGATCGATTATCTTCAGCGGTATCTCAATGGTTTTTCCTTTTCACAGGCTGCCTGCGAGGAATTGAGAACCAGTAGGATGTTTTTTAAACTTCTAGAGGCTGTGCTCAAGACTGGAAACCGCATGAACGTTGGGACAAATCGTGGTGATGCCCATGCCTTTAAACTTGATACACTCCTTAAGCTTGTTGATGTCAAGGGTGCGGATGGGAAGACCACACTCTTGCATTTTGTTGTACAAGAAATCATAAGAACCGAGGGAGCTCGTCTTTCAAATGCTAATGACCAAACAGAAAACTCCACATCAAATGAAGATGCTCGTTGTCGGAAGCTCGGTTTACAAGTTGTTTCTAGTCTCGGTTCAGAGCTCACCAATGTGAAGAAAGCTGCTGCAATGGATTCCGAGGTACTTAACAGTGATGTCTTGAAGCTTTCTAGAGGCATCAAAAACATCAGCGACGTTCTAAGATTAAATGAAACAATGGGGTCAGGCGAGAGCAAAGAGAGATTCTCAGAATCGATGAACAGGTTTATGAAAGTGGCGGAGGAAGAGATTATAAGGGTTCGAGCCCATGAAAGCGTGGCACTATCGCTAGTGAAGGAGATCACGGAGTATTTCCATGGGAACTCTACAAAGGAAGAAGCCCACCCATTTAGGATCTTTATGGTGGTGAGGGATTTCCTTACAGTTCTTGAACGAGTCTGCAAGGAAGTCGGTATGATAAATGAACGAACCATTGTTAGTTCTGCCCATAAATTCCCAGTTCCGGTGAATCCAATGATGCAACCAGTGTTTCCAGTTCCGGTGAATCCAATGATGTCCCAAGCTTTTCTTCAGAGGAGATCGCTTTATGGTTCTGGTTCCGATGATGAGACTGCATCACCTTAGTCGTTTGCTGAAGCTGTAAAATAGAAGCTGCCAAAACTGGGTGGTTTGGGTTTTGATTGAAGCTTGTATCTCCTGGTCTGCAATACAAGGTCGCTGTAATTTACTTATTTATATTCTTATTTTTATATCTGTATAAATCCATGAACAATAATTTTGGAACAGTTTTGTTCTATATATATATCATATAATATACTAGAGGAATTTTCTTGGGAAAAAATAAGGCAGTCTTTGATATCTTGCAAGTAAAGATGTGTATTGAACTCTGAACTGTTCACCTAAATAGGCATTATAGTTGAGAATTTTGGTGAACATGTAATAATAATATGATTCTTAAAGGAGAATGTTACATTCATCAGATTCATGCCTTTAAATTCATAGCAGGCCACAATAATTTATTTAAAATATTATTTTAAAATTAGACTAATACCATCATATTGCTTATATTAGAAAGTGGTGTTAATCGCCTTTGCTTCACTGGTTCTATTGTCTCAGCATGTCAGCATCCATGCGTTCTAGAATACGACGCGCTTCTTCCTCTGTCGCAGGAACTACTTTTCGAATCTTAAATCCGGTCTTTTCGGCCTTTGCCTCCGGCCGGACAGTGAATGAGAAATGAAATGTATTTGATACCTGCTTCATGCATACATTTACAGAAAGTTATAATATATAAGTAACCATCTGATCTAATAAATTAGTAAAACACAGAATCAAGCACGTAGAAGCCTTCTGTTCTATAATAGTGCATTCTAAAGGGTTTTACCTCACTAGATCTAATCTCAGGCCTCGTAACATGAGCAACAACTTCGACGTTAATTAAAGGTTGATCTGGATTCTCGAGTTCAGTGTACAAAACGCATGATGTCAACCGAAGGAAGTCGCCTACATCAACCTGCTCGAAACACACGTTTTCTTTGCTTAAGTTATAAAAGTTCCCCGAAAGATGAACGGATAGCAATCCCATATCTTTCATATAAAATTGACAGTTAATGAACTAAAGATAGACCTAATTTGAAGCACAATTGCAATCAAAGGTGCTGGAAAGACACTTATATTGAATAACACCTAGCATGGAAGGCAAAGAAGAAGAAATGAGTCACGTCTGTTGCTTTGCATAGACATGTTTAGCTGTTCGGCCCTTCCATAAATGGTTCTGGATCTCGATCTCTCTCTATCCGAGACACAATTAAGTTAATGCTAAAAGCTCCATAGAAAGCAGAAAGGTACTTACAGGCCTTAAGAAATCAACATGATCAACTTCTAAAAAGCAAGGCACTAATCCAGCAAAGGCATAAGCTGTTGAGAAAGCTAACTCAAAGGCTCGATGCATTAAGAAACCTCCGAAAATTCGACCATGGATGTTCCTCTGCTGTGGTTGGCAGATCAAAGCATTTTCAAGACGGGTATCCCTTAAAAGAATGCTGTCTCTATCTGCTAAAGCAGGCATATCACAGAAGATTCGGCCCTCAGCCAAAAGCACTTCCAGTCTCTTTCTTTATCTCCTCATTATCAAATTCTCTTCTACCTACTCTTTTCTTTTTCCTCAATTTGCTTCTAGCTTCAGCTTCTTCAAAAAGAAACTTCTCGCGTTCGGTTTCTGGTGAAAGCCGGTTAATAACAGCAGCTTTCCCTGTCTTAGAGTCACGGGCCACAAAGATGAAGTTAGCTGTTAGAGCAACTGAATCAGAGCCGTCTGAGTTTTCTGCATGAAATCACATTATCCAATTAAAGTCTATATCAACATGGCCAAACTTCAATCTGATATATCCATAAATGAGAAATATAAGCGATCTGTGTGTAAGTTTTGGAACTTCAGTGCCATTACCAACACTATCAAACATTGTCAGTTCGATGTAGTATCTGAGTATTGGCAAAGTATCATTCATGTAAAAAAAATTGATCATCACAAGAGTCAAAATTGTACAAAACAAGAAAGAACAACATGCTTCTCCTAATTGTGCAGTATGTAAATGAACCAGAAATAAAAATGGAATCCATAAAAACCCATGGCAAAAGATAAATGAAGTGAACAAAAAAATCATAAATTACAAAAGCACCATTTTTGGATTGAATGACTTCTAGTTGAATCTCAATTGATGATGTCCCAACCCATATGACAGAACCAACAATTTTCAGATCAATGTCAACACTAATAGCCTTCTTCAAAACAATCTTGTCAACAGCAGCTGTTACCAGCAAGAGAGGCCTTGTTGTGCTATCATCATCTGAACAATGCTAATTTCACAAACAAACAAAAAAACTTTAGCCATCCAAAAAAGGGTCTAAAACCCAGATTTTATCAAGCAAAAAAGAATGAATTTTGTTAAATGAAACCTTGACAGAGATAGTCCCAGCTAAAGCATCAAGGTCTTCAAGCAATTTCCCAATTCTAACTTCATTCCATGGATCCCTATACTGTTCTCTCAAGATATAATCCGATGACAAGTTATAAAAGATGCTGGTCCTGCTTTGAGAGGGAGTTCTTGTGAGCAACTCACTCTGTGGGGGCGCATCTTTTGGTGGGTCAAGGAGCCGCTCGAATATCTTGGACCTTGCTTCCCATAAAGCATTGGTCACCGGTGAATGGTACATTCCGGGCCATAGGCTTATAGGCTTCCTGTTCCCGGTCGATGTGGAATCTGGAGTAGAACTGTCAAAGGGAGAGGAAAAAGTCGAAAAAACTGGGATGGTTTTAGGAGATGAACAATTGAAATCCATTGGGAAATTTGGGATGTTTTTTCAGGTGATCCCTGCACACAAGGGTTGATCAGAATTTTGATGGTTTGAAGGAATTTCAATTTCAATTTCAGGGTTGGGGTTGTTGACTTCTTGTTCTTTTTAGAGTTATTTTCATTCTATGCCCTCAAACTAGGGCTCTCATTCATAATTAGATAACAAATTTTTAAACATTTCAATTGCATCCCTAAACTATGACTCTCTCTCTAAAGTGATCTTAAATTTTGAATATTTCATTTTTATCCCTAAACTATAATTGTTATTTGATCTTAGAATATTATAATAAATCTAAGTTTCATGATTAATAAGATATAATTTAAAATTTAAGATAACAATTAAATATAAATTCAAAAGGTAACTATTGAATTAATATTAGCTCATAGTCTCGTAAATTTGCAACTCACATGAGCACCATTAACAATGAGCACTATTAAATTAATTTATAAAATGTAAAATTATAAAATACTAAACGTATAATTATAAATTAGTTAAAAATCTAAATGCAATACAATATTTATAAAACATTAGTTTTTAGGGTAAACTATGCCATTGACCACCTAACTATTTACCATTTTAACTTTAACTATCGATTTTTCAATTTTGTCAACCGGATCACCTAACTATTTAAATCTTGTCAATCAAGCCACCTGCTGTTAAATATTAACAAGGGAGATGACGTGACGTGACAGTTAATAAAATTTGTATAGTTACACATTTAATCCTCATTACTTACACACTCTATTAATTTGATCATAACTTTTAATTAATTCAATAAATTTAATCCTTAATCAAATGGTGACATGTGTCACTATATGATTAGATTTTTTTTTATTTTTATTAAATTCAATAAATTTTTCATCCAATAAAATGGTGTCACGTGTCACCAATTGAACGAATTAAAAATAAATTGAATTAATAATTGTTGTTGGTAAGGTTTGAACCCACAACGTGAAAAGAGGAAGCAAACAATCCAACCACTGGGCTACAACATTCAAATGATATACATATCACGACATAATATATATAGTTAGTGGCAATAAGAAAAGGGAAAATGACCTAATAAGAACTCTAACATGAAATAATTGAATAATATGATAATATGATATATACACACACACAAATATTATAGTCGATTAATATGTGAATGTATTATATTTATATTTTAAATCATTTTAATGAAAAATAAAAATAAGGTTAATGTATTATAATTGAAATATAACGAAGAGTTTCGTTGACTTAGAATTTTCTTGATAGTTGAGGGCTTATCGTAGTAAACATTTTAACTTATGCACTGACTTGTTTATATACCAGTTAGAGTAAGAATTTTATATTTTATTATTTATTCATTATATATTTGAAGAAAATTTTAGGGGAAACTTGATTTTACTGAATTAGTCTATTTAATATAGAGTTGTTAAATAAGATTAGAATCTGATCGACGTAATAATACTTTAAAATATAAGATATGATACATTTCAGTTCAACAAAATTAGAATAATGAAGATAATTTATTAATTTAAAATATATAAAATGATACATTTCAATTATAACATATTCAATTCACTTTTATTTTATTTTTTGCATTAAATGAGATTTTTTATTAAGCTAAAGGTGATTATAAAGTAGTATATGTTTTAAATACTCTCAACCATTTGACAATGAATGTTCAATCACCCTTGTAGTCGCTGGTGCTCAAACCCACAACCTCTAGGAACCACAATTCCTTTAACTACTAAGGTAAGTTGGTTCGTGCATGTGATTTAAAATATAAATAAAATATATTCATTTATTCATAATTATAATATTTGTTTATATATTTTTTATATTTTCATACTATTCAATTATTTAATGTTTGAGTCTTTATAAGGTCATTTATTACCATTAACTATATTATAAATTATATAGATTATGTTCTGTATACTAGACAAATTTATTAGTTTATTTTAGTGGTTAGAGCATTTAATTTTTTGGATTGCATTCTAGGTTCAAACCCCACTAACAACAATTATTGATTTAATTTATTTTTCATTCATTTCAATTGGTGACATGTGCCACCATTTAATTGGATGAAAATTTTATTAAATAAAAATATTAAAAAAATCCAATCACACAGTGACACATGTCACCATCTAATTGAGGATTAAATTTATTGAATTAAATAAAAGTTAGGACCAAATTAATATAATGTGTAAGTAATAAGGACTAAATGTATAATTATACAAATTTTATTATCTGCCACGTCATCTCTTCCGTTAATATTCAATGGCAAGTGGCTTGATTGACAAGATTTAAATAATTAGGTTACCCGATTAACATAGTTGAAAAGTCGGTGGTTAAAGTAAAATGAGTAAATAGTTAGATGGTCAATGATATAGTTTATGCTAAAAACTAATGATTTATAAATAATGTATTTTAATTAAATTACATTTAGATTTTAACTAATTTACAATTATACGTTCAATACTTTGTAATTTAACGTTTTATAAATTAATTTAATAATACTTATCATTAATAGTGATTATCCGTGCTTATCGAGCGTGACGGTATCATCCTATATAAAAATAAGGCTTATTTGATGAAGGTCCTACTTTGTCTATGCTTAAAACTCTTATTATTGGGATGTCTCAGGTACGAATCCTTAATATACGGCTAAGGAAAGACGTTACTGGAATTATTATTATTTTTTTAACATTTCAGGTAAAGCACTACCTAAAACATTAATTTTTTCTACCTAAAATGTTAATATTGGGCGCTACCTAAAATGTTTAACATTTTCAGTATTACATAAAATATTATTTTTTCTACCGAAAATGTTAATATTAGGTTCTACCAGAAATTAGTTAGCAAAAATAACATTTTAAGTAAAAAAATAATAATGTTTTAGGTAACGTTTTACCAGAAATATTAAAAAATAATATTTCCGATAATACATTTTCTTAACCGTATATTAAAGTTATCGTACAACATAACTGCCCCTTATTATTGTAACCAACTATTGAGCTTTGACCAGGTTAGCATCTTATTAACTTTTAGGGTAAACTCTCTATTTGGTCACCAATTTATTTTCATATTTATATTTTAATCAACTATTTATTTATTATTCAAAATCATACTTAACATATGTTCATTTTTGTTTTTTTTAATTAATCATAAGTATCCAATCTATTGACCAACTAATTCAGACCGAGTTTTACTTTTATTTTAGTTATTTGTGGTTAGGCTTGACAGTTTACTTAATGAAAATAGAGATATGACATGATATAATAATAATTTTAGTCCCTAAACTTATACTTTCTATCAAATTGGAGCCTAGATTTGACCGTTTACTTGGTGGAAATAGACCGACCCCAGGTTGTTAATGTTGATAGCCCACTGTTGTCTTATTCATCAAGTGGCATGTCATGTAACAAATCCTGCAAGCTCCCATTCTCCATGTAATCATAAATGGCAATCCTTTGATCCCCAGTCAAGCAATATCCAATTAATGGGACAATATTCGGGTGGCTGATTCTACCAAGAAACTCGAGCTCTCACGCAACTTCATGATCGGCCAATGTTGATCAATGAACCAAGACTTTAACAGCTACATGGATCCCACCAGGCAGAAATCCTCTATAAGCGTGCCCGAATTTCCCTTCCAATACTAGGGCACCTATATTGAAATTTGAAGTTGCAGACAAGATGTCTGCAAATGTGAGATTCAACAATGGTTTATCATACATCATTTCAGGGACAAGTGTTGCCTGTTTAAAATCAACCACCCATGTGGTCGGTTTGGAAAGAAGAGATATCCGCCATGTTTTGTTCTTTATACGGTCTTTTATGAGAATCAAATTGATAATTTTTTTAAAAAAATATTGAAGATTTATTGAACTATTTCAAATTAAAGCTAATTTGCTAGAATAAGTAAATTTTGAGGACTAAAACTGTGATTATATCATGTCACGTCCGTTATTAATGCATTAAATTATGTTTAGAGTTTAGACAAACAAAGCCATATGGCAATTGGGCATGATATATACAACTCAAAACAGTTTTGAGGGGTATCAAGCATTAAATATGGAAGATGATGGAAATATACATCATCTACTAATGCATTATAGCTCTCCACTAAAGGAAAAATACCAAAAAAGTCACTAAAATCTTTTGACATCTACGAAGTAAAATATGCCACACACACACATCATTCGCAACCCTTAAGCAATACTTTCATTTGCATCAGACAACTTTAAAACTGAGATTTTGGATTGTGACCCTTGAAAAATGCTCCAAATCCCCTTCCATTTCATCAAGCATCAATGACACTCAATGGAACATGCCACCTCGACGTCACATGGATGCCTAATTGGCATAAATCCCAGACCAGAAAGTTAAAAGTCCACTTTCTCTTGGCATAAATTCTAGTAAATGAAAAAGTAGGAAGTTAGGCAGCAAAATCCAGCATAAAGAAAACAGCATGGATCTAGATGTCTTTTTTGATAGTTATTCGATTGAAACATGATAGCATTCATGAGGGTGCACGATGATTCCCAACCGTGCATGCGACAGTTCTGCTACTAGTAGCGTATGCCAAATTAAGATTCATAATCCAGAAAGTGCAAACAATAAACAGCAGTGAATTACACAATTCATCGATCAAAAAGACAAATGACTGGAACCCTCACAAGTCACAACTATAAGATCTCTAGTTTATGTTACAGACAGCAATCACTCGACCTACATCTTATCATTCGGCAATTATCACATTAATCTATAAGGAAAACAAATCCCACAATTATAAAGTGATCTTACTTACATCACATGTGGCTTCAACCGGTGCGAAAATAATAGTTCTACATACATGATCGTTTAGGGAGAAAGCCTGGAAAGATAACCTACGATACTAACAAATCTAAAGCTTTTCCTCCAGGACATTAGTGAAGGATTCTACTATGAAATAAAAGACACCAAAACCTAATGTGGATGCTTAAAAATGTAACCGATACAATTACATTGAGTACTGAATGCATAAAGTTGAAATAGTAAGTAAAGCTTCATACATGTAACTTCAACCTTTATTTAAACATGCACAAGAAAAAAATACTTCCACATGCACTAAGCTAAGATACAATACTCACCATATCCCATATCGCTTCACAGACTCTCGTTGACATCTCGAGCAACAATAAGTTCCTCTAAATAATCAACATCACCAGTATCTGAAGGCATCAAAATTTCATCCTCGGTGGTAAAATGGTAACGCTCCCCAATAGCTCTTAAAAACTGGTATACTTCAAACATGGTAGGCCTCTCCTTGGGAGGTGGCAATACACAGTTACATGCAACTTTAAGAAATTGGAAAAGTTCATTATCAACACCCTTGCCAACCAAGGTTGTGTCAATAGCATCTTGAAGTTTTCCATCATTTGATAGCTGCATAATCCATTCAACCAGACTTCCCTTGAAGTTCTCAGGAGCTTTGGATACATGGGTAGGTTTTTCACCAGTCACCAACTCAAGAAGGACAACTCCAAAGCTGTAGACATCTCCTTTTGGTGTGGCCAGTAGAGTTCTGCCATATTCAGGGGCAACATAACCTAAATCTCCAAACTCACCATTCACAAAGGTGCTCAAATGTGTATCAATTGGGTTCATCAGCCTAGCAAGACCAAAATCGGATATTTTGGGCTCAAAATCTGCATCCAGTAAGATACACTTAGAACTTATATTTCGATGAATTATACGAGGATTGCAGTTGTGGTGGAGCCATGCAAATCCTTTGGCAGACCCTATACCAATTTTAAGCCTTAAGGACCACACCATAGGCTTTTTAGCATCATCTGTAGGATGCAAATTATCATTGAGAGTACCATTTGCCATATATCTGTATACTATAAGCCTCTCCTTTTTTGCCATGCAGAAACCTAGAAGGGGAACTAAGTTATGGTGTTTCACATTTCCCAGAGTAGCCATCTCAGATGAAAATTCTTTGTCAGAGTGTTGAGAATCTTGTAACCTCTTAATCATAAGTGCGGTTCCATCTTCAAGGACTCCTTTGTACATAGTCCCTGTTCTTCCTGATCCGATGATATTTCTTTTGTTGAAATTATTAGTGGCCTTCATAAGATCATTTAGTTTCATCTTGGAAACTCCCTTTTCAAACAAGGAAACCTGAAATAACATTACCTTATAAGTACGTCACATACGAAAAACAATAAAGAGAAAAATAAAAGCTTGGTGTTAGCTCAAATCTGATATTGCGATATTAAAGTAGCTTGCCTTAATGCCTTTTTCTCCCTTTAAGCTCTTTGCCCATTTGTTTCCATCTGGATCATCATCCTTCTTCCTCATGGCAACCATTCTACGGTAATAGAAGAACATACCAATAGCCACACCTATTGCAGCAACTGTCACCCCACCAACAGCAGCCCCGGCAATAATTCCAGTTTTAGGGCCTCCTGAAGTTGACCGACAAAGATCCAGAGGCTTCCCACACAGTCCAGGATTATGTGCAAAATCCTCTGCTGTTATTGTATCATTAAAAGATGGGATCGGACCTGACAAGAGATTATTAGACACACTAAACGTTTTCATCCTATTCAGCAAAGTGAGAACTGGAGGAATTGAGCCCGTCAATCTGTTGTTGTCGAGCTTCAAAAGGTTTAAGAAGCTACAATTTGCGAGGGCTGGTGGAATCTCTCCAGAGAAATTATTAGATGAGAGATCAAGTGTAGTGACAAAATAGATAAGATCAGAAATATTAGATGGAATACTTCCATAGAGACTGTTGCTCGAAAGATCTAAGCCTGTCATACTTTTGCATTTCTCAATTCCTCGAGGGAACACACCCTTAAGTCCCATGTCGGAAAGCTTGATATTTATGACCCTATTCTCATCCGGGTGCCAACAATCAATCCCGGTAAATCTACAAATAAACCCTTCAGTGTTGTTGTTGAAATTCCATGTGGAATTTAAGTAACCGAAGGGGTCCTCAAGTGAATCTTTGATGCTCTTCAAACAATCAATATCGTCTTGAGACGCGTGCCTCAAACTACAGCCAAGCAATAACCACACTAAAACGCTGACAGAAACAGCACAAACTCGGGTATGCAACACCATGATTATGAATAAGCCCCGCAAATCAAAACTGAAATGGTGGATTCCTGAAGGAAATTTGTACAGCTAATAACAGTTTAAAGCGCCAAATCTTCTAAACCATGGTTCAAAATTTACACCTGAAACAAGTAAAAAGAAAAGAAAAAAAAGAGAGGAAATAAGATCGAACTCACCTTTCGTAATTATCCAAAAACACCAAGAATAAAAGCTATAAAAAAGGAAAGAGCATAGATAACATAGTTCAGCTGATAAACCATCAAATTCACAAGGACTAACACAAAACTAGAAACTTTTACACAGACAAAAATTAAGCAAACCGGGTGAAGTTGACCACTTGACCTAGATTCTGATTTATCAAATATCAACAAGACCCAGAAAGGGAAATTAAAGCAGGATGAAGCTTTGTTACCAAAATTCAAAGAACCACCTCTGATTTCTCAAATATCAACCGAAGAAGATCCAAGAACAGCCAAAAGGGTACTCTGGAAACTACAAGGAAGCATCCCTCTTTTCCACGGAGAAACTAAGAGAGGAGACCTCAATACTTCATATATGAAAAAGAGAAAAATAAGGCAAATTCAACATCATGGTTTGAATAGTCAAAAGCATAATTCAAGACAAGAAAACAAAAAATAATAGGTAAAAAAAAGAGAGAGAAATGAAGGAAAGACCAGCTTGAGTTGTTTTCTTTTATCCGAGCTATGGAGACGACTAGTCTCCAAGATGGGGCAAAGACATTTTAGTGCTCTTTGCTTGACTTGCTTTCCGTTGAAAGATATTTTTGCTTAAAAATTATTCCATAAATAACAAAGGAAAAAGGAGCAGTGAAAATTGTACAGAGAGTTAAAAAATGATTGTTGTAATGACCATCCGACTTTGGCCAAATTTTCAATTTGGTGGCCGACCATTTGTATAATCCCATTAAGCGGTCAACAGCCATACAAATTTTAGAATAAAACCTCTATAGAGTAATTCTTTTTCTATTATGATTTGGTTATCTTATTTTTCGTTTATCATTTGATAATACGTTGATTTTTCATTGAAAGTTTAAGTTGCGATTGTCGAAGTTCGCGTTGCGATTTATTCCAAATTCGTTGTGATAGTCAAAATCGCAACGACTGGTGGTATTGCATTTGTTTCTTAAGAATTTTCTCTAAAAAAATAGTATTCGTGCGGACGTGTCGAAGACACGTATTACCATTACCATTACCATTACCACGACCACGACCACGACCCGACCCGAGACGAGACGGACGGCGGCGGCGGCGGCGCGCGAGAGTTTCCCTTGTTCTCTATCACTCAACAAGGAAGTGGAAAGTCAAGCCTTAAATACTATTATCAACAGTGTTTCCAATACTATGTGGGATTGAGCATTACCAACACTTGTTCTCAATACTATGTGGGATTGAGCCTTAAATAGTGATACTATTTTTGAATGTTTTGCTTAAAATTGCAATAATCGCAATTGATTGTAGATTGACTTTTAATTATGACATATTTAATCGTATAATACTAATGCAATTGGTTGCTGATTCAGTTGTTTTAAGGTGCATGATTGTTAATTGTTTCCTGAATAATCACATTGTATTGGAAATAAGTGTTGGTAATGCTCAATCCCACATAGTATTGTAAACACTATTGGGAATGGTATTTAAGGCTTGGCTTTCCCACTTCCTTGTTGAGTGATAGAGAACAAGGGGACTCTCGCACGCCGCCGCCGTCTCGTCTCGTCTCGGGTCGGGTCGTGTCGTGGTCGTGGTCGTGGTAATACGTGTATTCGACACGTCCGCGCGAATACTATCTTTTTAGAGAAAATTCTTAAGAAACAAATGCAATACTATCGCAACAAATTTGGAATAAATCGCAATGCGAATATGTAAATCGCAATGCGATAGTCGAAGTTCGCGTTGCGATAGTCGAATTTGGAAAATCGCAACGCGAACTTCGACTATCGCATTGCGATTTACATATCGCATTGCGATAGTCCAAGTTCGCATTGCGATAGTCCAAGTTCCCATTGCGATAGTCGAAGTTCGCGTTGCGAATCTGGAAACTGATTTGCGATACCGGAGATCGCGTTGCGAATTATCGATCGCATTGCGATTTAGTTGGTCATTTTGGCAAATCCAAAAAAGGTTGGTTAAAATCGTATTTTATAAGGTATTTTTGGTCAATGAGATTATTTTCTCAAATATTTATTTTAAGGCTTTGATTGTCACGTTATGATTTTTGTCACACACTAATATTAGGTTTAAGAGCAACCTTTGTTCTTGTAGTGGATCCAATTTATCATTTACGCACATATCATATTTTCGCATTAATTTAACTCTCAAAGTTGTTTAATTGCATCATTCTATATCCACCCTAACCTAAACCCTAAATTGATAACCTTAAATCATAACATCTAAACCCTAATCCTAATCCTTAAACCATCAATTTAGGGTTTTAAGTTAAGGAGATGGTATAAAATGATGCAATTGAATAATTTTAAGGTCTAAATTGATGTGAAATTATGATAAGGCCGAAAATAATAAATTGAGTCTATTACAAGACAAAGGTGACTTTTTTCCATAATATTATCATTCTAATTTCATTAAAGATTATATTTTTCATATTTTTGAATTGATTAATTTTGATTGATTTAAAAAGAATGATCAAATACTCATTACATGAGATACTTCGACTTTGAATTATGTCTAAATATGAATAAATCTAAAAAACAAAACTAAGGGTGATAAGAGAAAATCTAAAAATAATTTAGAAACTATCTAATTGTTAGTGGTAGTGATATGTACAAGTATATAATAGAAATGAACAATTTGGAAAAATAACTCAACTCCATTAATGTGATTAATTTGGGGATACCAATATCAGTAACGAATCTAGAAAAAAATATTATAGATCAGTCCAATGTAAGTAGAATAAAACAATTAATTAATTAAGTTTACATATATTTTTAATTTAAAATATAATAACAACCAAAATTAATGCAATTACATGTTTTAAAATTTAAATTTATGTAAAAAGCACATCACTCAAATTATATCATAAATTTATAAGGTTTTAAAAAGATTTTATAATTACATTTAACTGTAATTAAATTTTTTAATTATGAGACGAATCATAATTTAGACGCGTCTATACTTCGTTTTAGGTCATTTTGATACAATTTATCGTTAACTTTATTTTTTTTAATTTAGATCAAATTCGAACACATAAAAGGTTAAGTAGTGCATCAATAAAGAACATTATACGTAGGAATTACCAAATAAATGAAAACCCACATTTAGTAACATTGATTAACGTGACCTAATGTGCTAATTCTGTAAGAAGAATTGGCGTTTTCAAGAAGGAATGTTCAAAATGGAAAGAAATTTGATTCACTTTTTTACGTGAATGAAATAAATTTTAGGGATATTCATATTTTAATATTTATTGATTATATATTGATATAAAGAAATTCAAATGTATATTTGTATAAATAAAAGTTTATACAAATAATTAGTTGGTCTAATAGGTTGATGTATTAAATTTTTAAGTAAGGTTAGGAGTTCAAATTTTAGTAATTAAAAAAATAAATTGAGTTGAGAGAGTAACTCTAGACTTTACGATGTTTAATTTAAATTAATCAATTAATAAATCGAATATACGGATAATATAAAAATATCAAAATCTCATAATCTGTTTGAATTTGAATGGTAGGCTTTTAATCAAAATCTCATAACTGTTTCCCCTTGAAACTCCACATAGTCTTCCGATTCAAGACTTGTTCGCTCCCCCTTCCAAATTTTCCCGCCAGAAAAAGGAAAAAAAATGAGAATTGCAGAAATCTCAACGCCGGAACACCGTCAAGCAGCCGCCGCACATGACTCGCAGTCCCCTACCCATCATCAACACAATCACATCATTTCTCAAATCGAGTCCAAAATCAAACAAACAGAGACTCATCCACCCGCGACTCCTCTACCCGACTCGCTCCCTTCTGATCTCCGCCAACTTTTGACAAACCTCACTCAACTCGCTCCCTTTCCCGCCACCAACAATTCTCTTAAACTCCACCTCTGGAAACTCAGTTACCGTCTCTGGAACGCCTGCGTCGACCTCTCAAATGCTGCCGCCATCCGCTCTCCCTCCTCCAATTGCTCTCCTCAAAATGTCGCTAAGCTTCGCCACGTGGCTTCTGATATGCTCTCCCTCGCTGTTGACGTCGTCGGAGTCCCTTCTCCGTTTATCAAATCTGCTTTGTTCTATTACAAGACCGGTCTAGTATGGCATGATCATAAAATCTTCGACCTAGCTTCTACATGCTTCGAGAGAGCCACGGATCTTCTCTCGAAACTCGATGTAAGTAAAATATCGGACGCAGGAGAGAGGAAACTTCTTTTAGATTTGAATCTCGCGAGATCTCGCACTGCATGGGAGATATCAGATAAAAATCTCGCGTTAACGCTATTGAATCGGTCGAAAACTCTCCTTTTTGGTTCGTCGGTTCATTTCAAAGCTCTGGCGGACCAGTTCTTAGCTTTCGCTAAAGTTGTTTTATCGAAAAAAGAAAACAACGGTAGCTTCAACGATGTGTTGAAGCTTCTGCACGAAGCGTTGGATTTATGCGATAAAGGACTGTCTATTGTACGAACAAGGGAAGAAACGGTGGAGATCAAGGAATTAAAATCCAAAACGATGCGTTTCATCTCAGCTGTCCATCTACGAAACGGAGAATTCGAAAGCGTGATCAAGTGCGTTAAAGTTTTAAGGGAAAACGGTGGTGAGGCTGGGGATCACCATGCTTCGTTGCCGGTTTTGGCAATGAAGGCGTGGCTTGGGTTAGGGAGGTATAGTGAGGCGGAAAAGGAGTTGAAGGACATGGTTCTAAATAAAGGGATTCCGGAGGGCGTCTGGGTCTCTGCGGTGGAAACTTCTTTTCAGGTCGCCGGAAATGCGGGGGTGGAAACTATGAAGGGGGTATTTTTGGGGTTGTTGGGACGTTGCCATGTTAGTGCACGCGCTGCTGTGAGGGTGGTTCATAGGGTGGTGGGGGACTATAATGGAATTGAGGGGTCGGGGATTAGAGCAAAGGTGGTGGCGGAACTGGTGGCGGTTGAGAGAGTGATTGCCTTGTTTGCTAGTGAGGCTGTGGCGAAAGAGAGGACGGCCATGCATTCTGTTCTTTGGAATTGGTAAGTTTGGTAGATTATTTCCAGCCATTTCTATATTGAGAATAAATTAATTAAAGGTTCAAATTGAAGATTTTTGGTTATTCTGATTCTCTGAATATAGCTAGCTAGCGTAGTTTGACTGCCTCATTGCTTCTCTTTCCACCAACACAATGCCGTTTTTACTTGATGATTCAATCACCTTATCGGTAACATATTTGTCCTTCAGTTATCGTTTGGCAATAAGAGTAATGCAGTTTTGTGAGAGATAATTGATAATTATTACTATAATGGATAATTTTTTGATCTAATGATAAGATTCTTGTGTTGGGTGACATGAGAGTTATATAGAGCATTGTGCTTTCCTTGCCCTGCAAGAAATGTCTTCTTTCTTATGCTAGACTATGAAACTTGTTTGATGTTAGACACGTTATACAGGAGTTAATAAATTGCTTGTCTAAGTACTTTTTGCATTTACAGTGGTTCATGCAATTTCCGATTGAAAGATTATGAAACAAGTGCTGAGATGTTTGAGAAATCTATGCTTTATATACCACATAATTTAGAGAACCGAGTTCTTCGAGCCAAGGGATATCGAGTTTTGTGTCTCTGCTACCTCGGTCTCACTCAACTTGATCGAGCTCAAGAATATATCAACGAGGCAGAAAAGGTATCCTGAGATCTATTAATTTTATTATATCTAATACGAAAAAGGTAAAAGTGTTTTGTTGATATAGTCCAATCTTTTCTGTTTCTGCAGCTTGATCCAAACACCATTTGTGCTTTCCTTAAGGTACTCTTCCTACATCACTTTTCTTTGAAATGGATCCTCTCTTACATTCAAGTATACATAATGGGACTAAAAAAAAACAGTGGCAGTTTGTCACTGGTGGATAAACTGATAAGACTGTATGACTCTTGCACAATTAACAGATAGTCATATAATCAAATATTTTGCGCCTCCTGATTTATGCAGTTCAAAATCTGTTTGCAAACGAATGATCATTGTGGTGCTATCAATCAGATACAAACAATGATAACCTGCCTGGATTTTACTCCAGATTTTGTCTCTCTCGGCCCACGAGGCTGTTGCTTCCCGTGCTCTTCCTGTTGCTGTTGCTGTCCTTTCAAACTTTCTTAACTTTTGCAACTCTGGGAAACCAATGCCAACAACAGAAGTTGTAGTGCTACGCACATTGGTCACTATTCTCTCTCAAGACCTGTAAAGAGGTTGAAGTCCTCAAATTCTTGAAACAAGCACACAAGAGAGCTTCTGAGCTTGGAGCCGAGAGCTTTTTTGGGAAAGGGGAAGTTGGAAGACGAGAACATAATTGGTTTGCTGTAACTTCATGGAATTTTGGAGCCAAGTGTGGGAAGGAAAAGAGCTACGAATTATGTGCTGAATTTCTTAGTCTGGTTCCTGGATTTATGATCTTATGGGTGATGGACAAATGGAAGAAAACAATGTCACAATTTGCAGATCATTGATTCTGTCTGTCTCTGCAATGATCACTTCAGAGAAACTAAAAATGATTCCATTGACAAATGCTGCAGTAAAGCATGCTGCTGAGCTGCTAGAGAGAGCAGGGAAGGTATGTGTCGGTAATTGTTTCTAATGCTGTTTTGTATAAGAAACTGAATTCATTGTGTCGCAAATGCTAGAGGGCAGCTTCCCTCATATAATATTTCTTCATGCATGCGTGCAGATACTGAATTCACTATCAGCGGGGAACATTGAAGCTGACCTCTATTTGATATACGTGCTCAATGCATATGACATGCACGGGAGGCTGAACAATTTAGAGTCTCAACAACATATTGTGAAGAGCTTTGCCGGCACAAAGGCTTGCACTCCTCAATACCTTCTCCAAATTGGTCTGAATGCCTCACAAGGTCCAATGTTCAATGCTGAAGTAGCAACCCTTTCCCTCAACGAGTGCCTCTCAGGCTTCATTTCTTCCCCCTCTACAAACTACCAGGATGTGGCTCTTATTGTCCGAAAACTGATTCTAATCGCTAGTATTCACAAGGGTAACACAGATGATTATGCGGTTCTCAGTATGTACAAGCAAGCATACCGAATAATGGTCGGGTTGAAGGAAGGGGAATATCCAACTGAAGAGGGCAAATGGCTTGCAATGACTGCATGGAATCGGGCAGCCATACCTGTAAGAATGGAACAGATCGATGTGGCAAAGAAGTGGATGGATGCTGGGTTGGAATTAGCTAGGAAGGTCGCTGGGATGGAAACTTATCAGGCATACATGGAGGATTATGTTGCTGAATTTGAAAAGAAATTTCATAAACAGACTGCTGGTGGAATACAGCCTTCGATATTACAGTAGCAGGTATAAATCCATACACTTAACAATGTTCCTTGAGTAATGTCCATATAACAGTTAAACATCTCATATTGTATGTATGCATCTATGTATGTATGTGTGTGTATATCGGTGCTAAATGTAATTCTACAGGGAAAATAGCATAAACATTTTATTTTTCTAGCATTAATTTTTGTGTGTGTAAATTACAAATTTTATCACTGAACTTTACTCTCTCTCCTATTTTGGTCACTCCGCCGTTAAATAGTTAACGGCATTAAAAACGAAATCGTTTTAAAAAAACAAGATTTTGACCAAAACAATATCGTTTTGCATTTATATAACAGCCTATTTTAATGCCGTTAACTATTTAACGGTTGAGTGACCAAATAAATCTAATGTATTAAGTTCAGTGAGAAAATTGAAAAGATTCAAAATAAAGTGAGTGAAATAGAGAGATAGTAAAGTTTATTTACCAAATTTGTAGTTTACCCAAATTGTTTTGGTACCTCTTGAACTTTGGAATCTCTCACTAAAAAAGATAGGGTCACTTCGCAACTGGCATATTCTTCCACTGTCAATGGATTCCCGGAATCACTGTTACACTATGTATTACATGAAACAAAACTACCTTTGGATATGCAGTATAAATCATAGAGGCTTACTTTTTTTTTTGGGTATTTGAAGTTTTTCTGACTTGGAAACAGCAAAGCTTCTAAAGGGACTATTTCTATGAGATTTGAACCATCTCCCTGAAAACAAGATCCCAAGCAAGCAAGTATTAGCACAGCAACCCGTATGTATATCCAAAACCCAGAACAAAATCCATTTCTTTAGTACCCAAAAAGTAAAAAGACCAAAGGGATCGTTTAAGAAAACAAAACCTACATATTATAAATTAAAGGAAACCCTTTTTTCTCCAATCCTATCTACAATCAGAAGTGTTTGTGAAAATTACTGAAAGAGAATGAGAAAGAACCCACATCGGAAACAAGCATGTAAACGTAAAATATAAGTTTACAGGGGGAAAAACTCTAAATAATGGAGTGCATGAATCTACAGAGAGATATGAAGGGTACAATGAAGAAGAGGGTGAGATTTCGATAAGAAGAACAAAGTGGAGTAACGGCTATCGCAGCAGCAGCACGAGATAAAGGGAAGCTTCACAATAAGCACTGCCATTTTCGGCCCCGTTCAGTGTTTTTCTTAAGGTTGTTCAGTTCAGTTCAGTTGTGTTCGGAGATATAAGCCTCCGGGAAGCAGATAAACCTTGTTCTTCTGACACGTAGTTGGCAATTCAGTGTACCCAAAGCTTAAAACGGCTTGTCGTTTCATTAAACATCATCTTCAAACTTAATCCATTATCACTTCATTCCAAGAATTAATAGCTTGGTTTAGATGCATGGAGAATAGATTAAGATGTGAAGATTACAGGGAGTGTTTTGTTTTAATTCGGTCACTGAATTACAATATACATTTATAAATTAATAGGAACCAGAGAATCCCTATCCTAATATGAATCCAATGACAAAGCCCCCCACCCCCCCTTTTTTTCTATTAAAAAAAGTAAAGCCAACGGCTAACCGTCTGTGTGTTTGTCGCAACTCTGTCATAACGTAATGGCAACCCAAGCCAAGTCTCCAACTCTCTTCCCTCATCAGTTTCAATGCTCCCTTTGCTCTCCTACTTCTCTGCCACTTCTCAATGGTGGGTCTTTCAAGTTCACGGCTCAAACTCTCCGTAGAAAGCCTCTCAGTCTCAGACTTACCGCCAGCAGATCAAACGCCAATGAGCCACAAGATGCAAGCTTTCTTTTTGCACTCTCTGAGCTGATTCAAACCAATAATTTTGTGTGTAAAACGATGTTTTTTTTTTGTAGGATTATCTGATCGATGCTCCTGTTTCAGCTGGTGATGGCTTTTCTTTTAGTGGGGGTACTTTCATATTTCAGTACAATTTTTCCCACTTAAAATGTGATCCATTAATTGAGAATTTAATGGTTGAATTAAAATGTGTTTCTTTTTGACAGGAAAATATTCAGATGAGCCAAACCCCTCTGATGAATGGTTTAAGCAAGGGAAATTTGTGAGTAAAATGCATGCCTATTGCCTAGGTTTTAGCTCTAGAGAACCAAGATTATTCCTTGGATTTCTTGTTTTACTCTAATTTCTTTCGGGTAGGTTAAAGCTTATCCAGTAGGTGGCACTGGTGAGAAAGCTAAAGATCCAATTTTTGGACTAACCATGGGAGCTGGCTCTCAAGCTTCAGGTGATGTTTTCAGGTAAGTGCCTTTACTACTACCATCATCATCATCATCAAAGTGTGATTCTAAATGATATTTTCCAATCAATGCCGATAAGTTTAATGTTGGTTTCCTTTTAGTGAGTTTAATGGTATGCATGAAATTGAGATCTCATCATTTGCAGGATTAAAACATGCTCTCTATCTCTATGATTTTATGAAATAGATGGTTTAGCGTGGAAAGTGGAAAAGCTGATAATCCTACGGTTATTTTGATTCATGGTTTCCCATCACAGGTTAGTCCCTTTTGGCCTAACAAAAATATTCCAATAGGAATTCAGCAATTTCTTTGGAACTAGTTTTTTTTTTTCGTTTCGGTATAATATGTTTGGTACTTGCTACTTGGTCTATAAATGTGACGGCTTAGCTTTGCTGGCAGGCATACTCTTATCGCAAAGTCCTTCCCGTTCTATCCAAAAATTATCATGCTATCGCTTTTGATTGGCTAGGTAAGATCATATATTAATTGTGAATTATATCGAGAAAGAGCAACTTCTTACTACGATTATAGTTTCTGGTCTTCAGTAACTTGTCATAAACTGTGAAATACAGCTTATATGTTCTACTTAGATGATACTATTTACTCTTAACTCACCATGTGAGTACATAAAGTTTTGCTTTAGTATGTATTTATGGGAAGATGAGATCCATATGTTTCGATGCTATCAATATTACGGTAGGATTTTCTTGAGAATTTATCTAGTTTTAGCCTAGAAATTGCTTCTAAAAGATTTTGGTTTGGCTTAGAGACATGGCAATTGTGGTAGATGGAATGAAAATCATTGCAAATTTGCTTGCAATCTTAACGGCACGGTGATATAGACATACTAGTTTAAATTTTTGAGCTTTTATTTTGCTGTTTTTTCATCTTGATATCAATGACTGCATTCTGGGTGCATGTACTTTATTGAATTTGCAAGTATTGTATATCATGTGCAAGGTTGTTGCCACTGGACCACTTCTGATGGTATCTGAGAAGACATGCATTTTGAATTGCTTAATAGTTAGAAATTTTCATAGAAGCTATGCATTTTGGAAGTTTGGACTTTGGACTAACAAAATGGAGGACCTGCGTATAGTTTTTCTGAGTTTTCTTTTGAAGTGCTTTTTCCTTCTAATTTCAGACTGCATATCATTAAAAAAAAAGCTTTAAACGAATCTAAGTGAATGATGACGTTTTGTTTGCTGCCAACCTAAATCCAACCTCTCTTGTTCAACAGGTTTTGGATTTTCAGATAAGCCTCAACCCAGATATGGATTTGACTACACACTGGGTGGTATTTGCTTTGCATGCCTGGCAATGGAATCTAGTTTCAACTAACTTGATTAACAATAAAAACATGACAGAAATGGAGAATAATGCGTATTTGTCTCCCTCATTACTTTTCTTCATTCCTAGCAGAATATGTTTCAGCATTGGAATCCTTTGTTAATGAAGTTGCTGCTGATAAAGTTTCACTTGTTGTCCAAGTATGTTATTTTTCCGTATATGTAGACACAAAGACATGCAATCAACATTTTTAAATTACTATGGAAATTAAAGCTAAAAATGTTTTTTGATCTTTTATATTCTTGCAGGGCTACTTTTCACCAGTTGTTGTTAAATATGCCAGCAACCATCAGGAAAAGCTTAATGATCTAATTCTCCTCAACCCTCCAGTATGAATCCTGAAGCTTTATTATTGTTCTACAAACTATTGTTCAGATTTTATCCCGATGACCAGTTTGGCTTATACCGAAAAAGTAATTTTTAACCTTGTTATTACAGCTAACGGCCAAACACGCCAACCTTCCCTCAACATTATCCATATTCAGCAACTTCTTGCTGGGTGAAATTTTTTCTCAGGTAAAGCATGATATATATGGTATTTACTAGGAACTTTGTGCTTGCATGTGCATGTTATTCTGGAATATAGACATCTATCAGTTCATTTGTAAGGACTAATGGATTGGTTCCAAGAGAGACCATATAGCATTAAATTGTTAATGGTTTGTTCTTTGCTGAATAGGATCCTTTGAGGGCCAGCGATAAGGCACTGACGAGCTGTGGTCCATATGCAATGAAAGAGGACGATGCAATGGTTTATAGAAGGCCTTATCTTACATCTGGTTCTTCAGGGTTTGCACTAAATGCAATTAGTAGGGCCATGAAAAAAGAGCTTAAGGTGGAATTATTATTTACTATATTTATATTTATGTAGTTCAAGTTCTGTTTTAATCAGATCAAAAATATTGAATTCAACTCTTGAGTTTCCATGTTCCCTCTTTCTCGAGGAAACCCTCTGCCTCTACCATAGGACTAACCTTATACTGCTGTTTCCTTATTCGTTTATATAGTATAATGTTAAAGGTGCAATGGAAAAATCATTCTGGTTTCTTGCTTGACAGGCATATGTGGAAGATACGAAAGCAATTCTCACGGATAAAAATTGGAAAGTTCGAACTACGGTGTGTTGGGGCCAGAGGGACCGTTGGCTAAACTACGATGAAGTGATAGATTTCTGCAAAAACTCAAACCATAAACTGATTGAGCTTCCAATGGTACCAACATGCCTTATGCACTTACATGTTATCTTTAAACTACAATTTCAGTTCAACCTTAGATGAAGCAGTATGTTGGGTCATGGGACCTTAACCTCTATTTCACTGCCTTATCCTTTTCTCAAATGCTAAGATTCTTATATAGACAATAACGCCCTTGCTGGTTTGCTTCCTGCAGGCAGGGCATCATGTCCAGGAAGATAGTGGTGAAGAACTTGGCGGGATAATTTCAGGACTTATCAGCCGAAGGATCATAACATGATAAGTTACAATTTTTTTAGAGCTACCAATATACTCCAAACATCAATTTTTTATCGTTCAGGAGATATATTTTATATGGATTATGCATTTAATGCTTGTATTGCAAACAATACATGAATGAACTGTGTTCACATTCCTGTGACAAGCCAATTATGATTGGAATGGTTGGAACTTAGAAGACACTGAATGGGAACTGGTCTACCCAAAAATTCAGAATCAGAAAAATATAAGGCAACTGAAGTTTGATTTATCATATGTAGTTGATATTCATTTTTCCAATAGTGCAGTATAACTAGTTAGTACATAATGAAAAGTAGTTCAACTTGAAGGGTTAGCCACAATTTATGGATATTAATATAGCTGATACAGTGTATCTATAGTTCAAGATAAGTATTTTGCGGATGCTTTTAAGTATATTTCTTCCTATTTCATTCCTTGTTTAGAAAATTCAGTGTTCGTGACCCTCTACATGCATGTTCAACCAAATTCTTCCTCTAATCCGTCTTTAGGTGGGCATTACTTCTGTTTTTTTGTCGATAGATCGTACGGATCAGACCAGCAACTGTCTTGCTTTACAGCTCTCTTCCATCTGTTTTTGAAGATCTCTAATTCAATGAATGATTGCTTTTTAACCTGTGGAAAAAGAATTCCATAGACAACCAATTGATGATTTTGCCAAGAGGCCTGCCATAAATAGAGCTATGGAGTGAAGTGAGCTTCGAAATTGCATAAAGAGTAAGTTCAAGGCTTACCTCAGATCTTCCACCAGACTCACTGGAAGGTGATGCTCCCTGCAAATGAAAAGGTTATTAAAGAATAAATAAATAGCAGGGATAAGGAATCGGATGGTCAACCTTAGCCAAGTATGAAACTTAATTCAAGCTGAGTATGACAACCCAAGCCGAGACTCGGGTTGGATCAGGATATTTGAAAATGGTATAGATTGGTCATAGATAGACCATGATCAACCCTGAATGGGGTTTATGCAACTTGGGGTACCTAAGGTAGTGTACTAGCCATGCATTATTGTCAATGTTTCACATATACTCAACGAAGAGAGTTCGCATTTCACCATCTAAAACTTGAGTGTATAATAAATGCAGAGATCAAGTGATCAGAAAACTCATGGCTGACCTTGATTGTCTCAAATGCACAATCAAGGTCAAGGGCTTAACATTGAAACCTCCTAGATTTGTCCATAGGTACTAAACAAAAAAGTATACATCAAAGAGAGCCTTTGACAAGCTTTAGAATCATATTTGGGTTAAATTTCTTACCTTGTTTGCTTCCAAGCCTCCAAGCGTAGGAAGAGCATCATGAACCAAGTACTCAGAATCGACAATTCCAATTTTTTGGGTTCGATCACCCTGTCAAATAAAGCTTCATTGTAAGAAACATGTTGAAAATACTGAATAAGAGCTCCTTCTTTTTTCCATTTTCTTTAAATTTAAATGAAAAGGCAAGGTTGAAGGTATAGAAATTGCCTGTGCACAATAACCAAGCTGAAAGTCCAATCCCCATCCATAAACCAGATCGCTCTGATATAAGTGAAAACCAATAATGAGATTACTGATAAATTACGACTAAACTTTCCGAAACAATATGGTCATGTTAGAAGGACTTGGACATGAGTGTTATATATGTTCAACTTTTTAAAAAGTTTTTCCATGCACTTGAAAGATTCTTGGACCAATGTCCGATTATGCATTAGACATGTGGACTTCAAGAAAAATAGAGAATTGAAATAACAGTTGATAGCATAGCCATGAAAGAAAAAAAAAGGTAATGATTGTTTATTGGATTCTAATTTCTAATAAACCTTTCATATATTCCATTAGTAATTTAGTACAACATTCAACTTCCTAGTTTGGATATAATACCTGAATCATATGCCATGAACAGCGCCAAGATGCTCTGGAGAAAACAGGAGCCATCATTTCCACAAATCTGTAATATGCAATTATCTCTTTCTGTTACTCCATGCGAATAGATACAATTCTTCAGAAGTTTAAACCAAGGAAAGACATATAGTGTACATGTTACGGTGTAATGATTGTTAACTACCGACAGAAAAGTCTGGCAAATTTAGATTACCCTGTACAAGGAGGACCGGTGCTGTTTTCGTTACACTTTGTCCTACCAATCACCTTGTACGTCCTCCTGTCAAAAATACACAAGTTACAAATACTCATGAATAAATTTACTTTGAATATCTTGAGAATATTATCACGAGACAAGCATGTCGTTCATTCCTGAACATGATTTTAGGAAGACAGAGGACCTGTGTACTGTTGATTTTTTGTCCCTTGCGGTAATCGGATGATGCAGCTCTGACTTCTCAGGATCAAGGGCTGGCTGTGATATTTCAAGCCCTTCCTTTTTAACTATCGAAAGGTATCTGTATTTAGAAAATTTAAAGGTGAGAATTCAGTTAAGGGAATGATTCTGACATTAATCACTAACTTGTCTTTGTTCTTCTTCAGGGGGACATAAACCAAATATATAATAGAATTGTAACAATAAAGCTTCAATCATGTTGCCGAAAAATAAAGCTTCAAGCACTTTTATGAACAATAAGGTATCCCAGCAATTGCTATTGCAAAGGTTTGACCACCTTATGGCTTATGCTAGTGTTTACCAGTGAACTCTGAGAAGAAGAGGAAAACTGTTTACAAAAATATAGTAGATTCTTCTTCCAGAGTCAAAGGTAAAACCCAACTAAGAACTTATATTTTCAAGATCACCTGTGAGTTGAAAGTTATCTTATATAACTAACTCAATTTTTTGTGTTATGATTCTACAAAGAAGTATATTAACGATATAATTTTGATAAGATTCAAATGACTTTGTTTTACCGGACATGGCTTTTATGCGAACGCTGCAAAAAAGCAGCAGCAAAAAACAAAAACAAAACAGATAAACAAATAGGTTTGATAAATAAAATAAGTGCAAAAGATGATAGGTTTGGTGAATGTCATTTTTCAGCTGGAGTTATTTTTTTTTATTAGATGTTCATCATCATATGGTTGAGAGCAAGGCCCTGATGAGCCGCTGAATCTTCAAGCCAAGCACTATCTCTAAACTCCGAGAAACAAATTTTAGTTTCTTACAATTAGATTCAGTTCTTGAGTAGTTTTCTTCTTCTTTTTTATTTGCTCTCTTCTGTAGGTGAAGCACTGTGTTTTTTACTACCAAGTGAAATGCGAAAAAGCAAGACCTATACAACAAACCTTTTAGCATCAAGTGGTCGACCCCAAGGTCTTCATCCCAAAGGAAGATGTAGGCATACTCCGAAACAATATCTGGATGTAAAAAGCGCTTTGCAAACCACCTAATTTGTGAGAGTGCATTATACAGAGCCAAGTTAATTTGAACCGAATCAACATGTATAGAAGTTTTTTACCCCAAATCTAGAGCTAATGACAATTTACCACTTCGTTTGATTGGCAGCAGAGACATGTATAACACGGTCATTCCACTCTAAGTCCTTCCACTGATCCACAATGCCATCGTAATGGAAAAGCATCACGGCGAAATCATTCACTGGAAACTGTGACATGGAAGAAAATGAGCAAAAAAGGGAGATATATAATAAATTAACATAAACAATGTAACAAAATTAGGCATTTATTAATAATCTAAATGATAACATAAATAAAGTCAGTCCTTTCACCTTCTTGATCATCTTGTTGACATTTTCTTTTTGCTTTATGCCAACTGCAATGGCTAACAAGCTCTTGGACAACTTTGGCTTCTAAACAAAAGTAAAGGAGAACAAATTAATGAAATAGCTATATGCCTAATGTCCATTAAAATCAACTCAACAGGTTGAAACTTGAAACTATCAAAATACAAATAACGCTACTGAAGTGTTTTTGTAAAGGACCTAAATCAATGTCCTAAAGGTTTTATAATTGGTAATGACAACATATGGAGGTCAGAATTTAGTAAGAAAAAGTAGTTTAATTGTGGCAACATTGTAATAAAAACTTAGCAGACTACATACCGGTCATCTCAGCTGATAAAATGCTCAACTATATAGGAACAAATACAAATCTGAATGCCACTAACCAGAATAAACTATGGTCAAACAAGAAATATGAAAAAGAATATGATAATCAGTTGATACCATTTTGAAAAAGGGATGGGACTTGTGCAGCCATATTAATTTAGAAGAAAAAAGAACAGGAAAAATGGTAGTGCACACAGCACTGTCATTCAGGAATGCAACACATAACATATATCATCAAATATTAGTATCAAAGTCTTACCTTCTTACTCTGTAGACCCCATAATGGCAGCATTTCCAAGTCAGATGTCTCGGAAATAATTCCTCTAGGCAATGCTTCACTTCCATAAGCCCTGCACTGGGTCTAAGCACAAGTGACACACAGAAAAGGAATAGTTAGGAGAACATATGTGTTATTATGTGCATCATAGAACATACATGATGTAACATATACAAAACAAACCTCACAGATCTTAGGTCTTGTGTACTGAAAAACCATAACAGACCCCCATCCTAGAATTCTCTGCACAAAGAGGGTCCCAAATCTCACATTATTTACTTGCTTACAGGAAATATAATGCAGTTAATTTGCATGAAAAAGTCATGGAGCTTTTGATTCCTTATGTTAATAAATTGGATTAAAAACTTAGGCATACTGGCATGCACAAATTATAAGAAGAAAATTAAGTTAACACAAAAGAAAAATAGGACATTGATGTTAAAAGATCATGAGGTGGTGCTCATGGATATTCAAGTGTATTTCGACGGCCTCCATTTCTATTGGAAGAGTTTAGAATCACTAGAGGGCTTCAGCAAGGGTGTTCTTTGTCCCCGTTGTTATTCAATATGGTCGGGGAATTGCTAAATTTGATGCTGTCTAAGGCAGTAAATTTGGGGCTTTTCTGCGGGTTTGAAACCGGGAAGGTAGGGAATTCTTTCATGTTATCACATCTACAGTTTGCGGATGATCTGCTAATCTTATGCAATGCCTCTATGGATCAACTGAAGAATGTAAGTAGAGTGCTAGGCATTTTTGAGTTAATGTTGGGCCTGCAGTTGAATTTGGGGAAAAGCAATATTATTGGAATTAATATGGAGGAGTTTGTTATGAAGGAATGGGCAGACAAACTTGGGTGTTCTGCGGGGAGTTTCCAATTGAGTATCTAGGTTTGCCTCTTGGTGCGAAGAAGAATTCAATTGTGCTTTGGGAGCCGATAGTCCAAAGATTTTATGAAAAATTAGTCGGGTGGAAAGCGACATCCTTGTCTTTAGCTGGGAGAGTGGTGTTAGTGAAATCAGTGCTTAGTTCCTTGCCCATATTTTATTTGTCCATTTTCAGAATTCCAACTCAGGTCTTGAAGAAGCTAAATTCGATCATGGCCAAGTTTTTGTTGGGAGGGTCAAAAGAGAAGAAGAAGATTCATTGGGTTAAATGGTCAATCGTCTGCCTACCTAAATATTTAGGAGGCCTTGGTTTACTGAATAGAGCACTCCTTGGGAAATGGGCTTGGAAATTTGCGATAGAAAGGTACACTTGGTGGAAAAGATTGGTGTGCAGCAAGTATAATGTAGACCCGAGAGTTATTCGGATTGAACTTACAGCAACGATCAGGGCATCTTGGATTTGGAAAGGAATTCTGAAAAATTGTGAGGAGGATGAGTTTGGGCAGTGTTTCCACAATAGTTTAAAACTTCAGGTTGGGAATCGTGAATCTTTAAGGTTCTGGTTAGATAACTGGTTGGGTTGTTTCCTTCTTAAGGTGCAATTTCCAAGAATGTTCGCGTTATCAGTCAATAAGGTGGGAACGATTGCTGACTTTAGATGCCGGGATCAATCGGGATGGTGTTGGAACTTTCCTTGGAGAAGAAATCTGCTGATTGAGAGGTTGAGCAATGGGCAGAGCTAAATTCCTTGCTTCATAATATTCATTGCAATGAGGATAAAAACAATGGATGCATTTGAAAGGGGAATGGGAGGGTATTTATTCAGTAAAGTCTTGTGTTAGGCTATTGTATGAACAACAACCTATTAATTTCGGTTGGACGAAGCAGGTTTGGATTGGGATGGCTCCCCCGAGAGTGGAAACCTTTGTATGGCAAGTAATTCATAAGAAATTGGCCGTCAAATCGGAGCTTGTTAAGAGAGGCTTTGAAGGCTTGGAAGATGTTTTGTGTCCTCTCTGTCGACTTGAAGTAGAAACTGTTTCGCATCTTATGGTAACATGTAAGTTTGCGTGGGATATTTGGTGCTCCTTCTTGCGACTTTGGAATGTTACAGCGGTGCTGCCATGTAATTCGACTGACCTTATTGTGGCTTGGATGGAGTTAGTTTGTTACTCTCCCATTTGGTCGTTAATACCAGGTGTAATCATGTGGTTGGTGTGGAAATGTAGGAATGATATAGTATTCAAGGAAGGTTATTTTGATTCAGTTTAGCTGGAATTGATTCATATTGATTTCTTGGTTTGCGGCGAAATTTCCTTATGCAAAGTTACAGTTTGATAGCTTAGTGAGTAACCCATCCTTGGCGGATATTCATTGGAAAGATAAGAAGGTGATTTCCCTCTCTCCTGCTTGGTCCCCCTCCCTCAGGTTTTCTGAAGGTTAATGCTGACGGAGCAGTGGAGAAGGAGCGGCATAGAGGGGGTATTGATGGTCTTATTCATGATTCGAATGGAAAGATGTTGGCTTCTTTCTCAGAAAAGGTGGGATATGGTCCTCATATTTTGGCTGAATTGATGGCAATTAAATCAAGATAAGTTTTTCTTTGGGAGGGATTGGGGATCTAAAGGAAGATTAATTTTGGAAACAGACTGTTTGAAGGCATTGGAGTGGATTAAAAATCCTAGTTCTTGCCCGGCCTTGTTCGAATCTTTGGTTAAGGAAATTTACACAGTGGTGGAAAATAAAAATGTAATCCTAAGGCGCATTCAGAGATGTTGTAATTGGAAGTTCGATGAGCTTGCAAAGTCGGGTTTTGAGTAATTATTGTAGTTTTTCATAATGTTTTGGTATGTATAGGAAGTTTACGTTGTAATATAAGGTGGTTAACCAGTTTTAATTAGGGAAAAGGTCTTAGATGAGTTGGCAGTTTAGAGTGGGTTATTTTTGAGGTTGTATTTTAGTTGTGTATGGTTGTAGTGAACTATAGATGTACTTGGTATTTCAGGAATAAAATTTTGAGGTACTCTTTTCCTCCTTCCAATGTCCGTCAAGCTATTTTCATAGCGTGATGGTTACGAAGAGGGTTTTTAACGAGTTCTCCCATTTTTATAAAAAAAAACATGTATACCTCTTTATAATCCGTGACTATAAATGCACTTCCTATGAAGAAGGCTGCAGAAAGCAAAAGAATCATGGGGAGGAAGCGGTGAGTAAATAATCTCTGTCTTTTAGCTTCGGCCTTCGTATAAATCTGAGAGCAAGAGGAAACAAAAGAGATAAGACAGGATAACATATGACACAACTTTCAATTTCTGAAATATATTTACTTTTTCATGCTAATTGCTACCAACATTAAGAAGTCCAACTCCTAAACTACCACTAGGGAAATAATTAATCCAAGCACAATCTAAGGGAACCAAGACATTTGTCAATGCAGTAGATGGTGTGATGAGTTTTTAAACTCCTCAAGAGGCTTTCAGGCTGCTGGGTGTATCCATTTCTCAGATCAAAATTTTGACTGACGGGACCATTCAGTTTCAACTCGAACGCATAGTATTACTTGAAATTCACAACTTACCATTTTTCCTGTTTGATCTGAAAAATAATTTCGCAAGTACACTTGAATCGAGGTTCGAAAAGCAAAATCATCTTGCTCCCTCCATTTCTAAAGTGAATCATGCCCACCAAGTAACAATATTTTACTGAAAATGTTACGAGAGATTTTAGACCATCACTACAAACCAAAACGGAGAAGCCCCTATGCATCAACTTTAAGAACACAGTAATAATAAAGTTAACTACATGGCATTTTCGAGCTTCTAAGCAGGGACGCAGCTAGTTCAGATTACTAAAGATGTTATTTTTCGTTTTTATTAAAAAATAATACCCAGTCTCATGCCCTTATTCCAATCATTCACATGATCCAATCCTTTCCTTCAACCAAACAAAGCATTGTAATGGTTCAGCTTCATTTATAAATTGGTAAACCCTCTTTTCTTCTTTAAACACAGGGACCAGGACCAAATTAACTGGATAAAGCATATGTAACTTGTGATCAATTATAGAAAAAAAAAACAGAAAGTGAACAACTCCCATCAAGTCATCAACACTTCGATAATTCGATTCAAAGAGAAAACTGAAAACAGAACGAAACCCAAAAAACAGTACCCCCAACCCACACACACACAACACCATTTCCAAAGTTAAAGAGCAAAACCCAGTAATATTTTTCCACGATTACAATAAAAGAGTGAATTTTTCAATCAAAACCAAGCATCTCAACAAACAAAACAATAAGCTTTCACAGAACAAACATAGGGAAGGAAAACAAAGAGAAAGAGAAGCTTACAGAAGTCGACATCCTCTTCTTCATCTTGATCTTCCATGCAATGGAATTGTATAGTAGTATTTATGAGGGGATATAAAAAAGGAAAGCAGTTCTGGCCGGAAGATTAGCTTTTAAAGTTACTTAGGACTGCAAAAAGTGTTCCCTTTTTATTATTTTTTAACTACGTTTTTATTTTTTAAAAGTAACAAAGACGAGAAAACGTGCTCCTTGAGTAAGAAACACACAACGCCATAACCATTTCTAACGGCGACGACTCTCTCCGTGCTTTCTTTGTAAGGGAAAATAAACTCGTATGCATAGATTCGTCGTATCTTTCGGCATTTTCATTTTCACGCTCTTTTCTTTTTAATTTATTATTTAAACATAATCATTTAAAAAATCATTTTTTTCAAAATGTTTAATGTATTAGGGAGTAAATTAGATTAAAAGATTGTTTTAATTTTTGTAGTATTCGATTTAAATTAATCGATTAATAGATTAGATATTAGTAATTAATTTTAAAAAATGATTAATACATAAATAAATACCTAAATTATATCTTAAGTTAATTCTCTCTAAAAATTTTACTCAAAATAAGTGTTTAATATTTTTGTATTACACGTTTAAATAGCTGTAACAACTATTAAAAAGATAGTTAACATACACATATTATATTTATGTTTTTTTAATATTTATTTTTAAAAAATAAAAAATACATATTTTAAAAAAATAGAAAAATAATAATAATTTCCCCACCACACGCCGTCCCCGCCTCCCCCAGTGCAGATCCCCCAACCCCAACTCAGAGTTGGGCAAACTTACACTATGTCCATCACCATCTGTTCCTGCCGACGCCAATCCAATTTTTCTAAAAAAAATCATCCATGGGATGCTCTTAAGTCTTTATTTGATTATTTTTAATTTTTTTTACCCAAGTTTAAATATACAAAAGTTGACATTTTCACTTAAATATTACCATTTTAAAAAGAGAAAATAATCTCAGTGACTAAAAATGCCTTATAATATACGATTTTAACCAACTTTTTTTGGATTTACCAAAATGATCAACTAAATCGTAATGCGATCGATAATTCGCAACGCGATCTCCGGTATCGCAAATCAGTTTCCAGATTCGCAACGCGATTCTGACTATTGCATTGCGATTTCCCAAATTCGCGTTGCGATTTTCCTAATTCGCAATGCGAACACGTAAATCGCAACGCGAATTTGGAAAATCGCAATGCGATTACGTAAATCGCAATGCGAATACGTAAATCGCAATGCGATTACGTAAATCGCAATGCGATTACGTAAATCGCAATGCGATTACGTAAATCGCAATACGAATCTGACTATCGCAATGCGATTTACATAGCGCCATTCGTATTAACGCGTATTTTTTTTTTCAAATTCTAAACACGAATATATTAATATATCGGAACACTGAACCATCAACAGTATATCCCGTAATTGCAACTCATAACCTAAAACCCTAAATCACAACTCAGTCTCATCTCTATCTCTCACTCTCTAAGGCGACATCCGTCCCCATCTCCGACGAAATCAGTCCCCACGACGATATTAGTCTCCATCTCCGGCGAAATCATTCACGGTCAGAAATGGAAAATCAACCACCGAGAGTTAGTTTTTTTAATTATTTTTATTTTGAAATATTTGCATTATTATTAGGTTTTTCATATTGAAATTGATGATAAGTTTACTGGTGTTTTCAATAATAGATTAATCATTTCACTTAGATTGCTTATATTCATTCGATTGCTGCCAATACTGCTAAACTGTTTAGTCTTTAACCCTGTGAAGTTAGTATTTTTCTTTGTTTTGTCTTTTGGTTGAAGTAATGCAATCCATTCAAGTTTCTTTCAATTTTAGTATTTGAAATCGAGAATGACTATCGCAATGCGATTCTGTCGTTGCGATTTTCATTTCGCGTTGCGATTCTTGCGTTGCGATAGTCAATTTCGCGTTGCGATTTTCATTTTCGTGTTACGATTTTCATTTTCGTGTTGCGATTTAAAGTTTCAGAAACTATTCTTCTTATGCAAATTGAAACTTGAATGAATTGCATTACTTCAACCAAAAAACAAATACTAAATTCACAGCGTTGCAAATTTAAGTTTGAAGAATAAACTACTACTCTTTATGTTTATTGTTCATATCTTTACAGTGTAGTTTTTAGTATATCTAAATTGGTATGTTTATTGTTTTTGCAGAACTTTTATTCGGCTCAATTGACCTTAAGAAATAAAGTAAGCCTGGCCAAAACAATTGCGTCGAAGCTTTCACATGCACAAAGAAAAATATTTGAGGATACTTGCTTCGGGCTATGGCTGAAAGTACAACATCCGGGTGGAGATGCTATGTTGACCCATCTGTTTCTTCAAACCATGACTAGCAATCTACCAGAGACTATACAACGTCGCGATGAAGAGATATGGTTTGATTTTCCACCGGCGTATATGTGTTTTGGGCGGGAGGAGTTTTGCTTAATCACCGGTCTACGCTTCAGACACGATGATGTAGATCGGTACACTAGACATATTACCCACCTATCATGGTTTTCCTGGGTTTTTCCTAAGCTGTCAACGGAGAAGTCGAATTTACACGTGGAAGACTTGACGAGATTATTGAATAAGAAAGATGGTTTTACTCGGATGGATGACGTCGATGTTGTCCGAGTATGCCTTCTAATACTTTTGCAAGCCGACTTTTTAGGCAGAGAGGCCCGATAACCTATTCCTAATGATCTAATTAAATTGGTAGAGGACCTAAATGCATGGAACCTATTTCCGTGGGGTTCGTATCTATGGAGAGCTACATGGAATAAGTTGTCGTCTGCCTTTAATGATCGGAAAAGTTTGCGTGGCGATTGTTCCAAATACACTTTGTCAGGCTTTATTTGGGCCTTTAAGGTAATATTTTTATATAATGTTTCCCAAATTATAATTAATTCTTTAACAATTACTAATGTTTGTTATTATATTGTTTGTAGATTTGGATATTTGAGGCCTTTCCCGCCATGCAGACATATGCATTAAAAACTTCTAATGATATTCCTAGGGCTATTTCCTGGAAGAGGAAACGATCCTTGCAGCAATGGGAAGATTTACTACCGTATACTACAATAAATAATGTAAGTTAACACAAATACTACCATATGTTTATAAACAAGTTATTACTAGTACACGTTTAACTTTGTTTGAGCTTTTATATTGTTAGGAGGCCAACACTCCATTACAGAGGCTGACACCCACGGAAGCTGAGCTTGCCACTGATTGGTGGCAAGCTAGTAAGCTTTTTTTTTGATGGCACGGATGATGAGCAGCCACCACTTCGAGAGCCATCACCTCACCCAGAGCCATCACCTGATCGACCCGAATATACACCTCCACAACGAGAGTCATCACATATTCTGTCACATCATCGAGCCTCTTCTCCACCATCACCTCATGATAGGCAACCGAAAAAGATGCCACGAAGTTTATCTCCCTGTTCTCCACCTCCACGGGATGAGTTAGGGGAGTTACGTAATGAGGTCAATGCCTTGCGTGAGGAGATCGGTACTTTACGCGATGACAATAGTGCATGGCGTGTTGAGGTGTCTACTTTACGTGGTGAGGTAGCAGCTCTACGTGAGATTGTAGCATCGTTGTAGAACGAGGTTCATACTCTACGCAACGAGGTAAGTTTAATATTTTTTATATTTAACTTGATGATAAATTTACTCGTAATTTCACTTAGATTGCTTAGTAAATTCATTCGGTTTCTGCCAATACTGTTTAACTGTTTATTCTTTAACCCTGTGAAGTTAGTATTTGTTTTTGGTTGTCTTTTGGTTGAAGTAATGCAATCCATTCAAGTTTCAATTTGAAGAAGAAGAATAGTTTACTATCGCAATGCGAAAATGACTATCGCAACGCGAAAATGACTATCGCAATGAGAGAATCGCAATGTGAAAATGACTATCGCAATGCGAAAATGACTATCGCAATGCGAAAATGACTATCGCAATGCGAATTTGACTATCGCAACGAAAGAATCGCAATGCAAATGAAAATCGCATTGCGATTCTCTCGTTGCGATAGTCAAATTCGCATTGCGATAGTCATTTTCGCATTGCGATAGTCATTTTCGCGTTGCGATAGTCATTTTCGCGTTGCGATTTTGTTGTTGCGATTTTCATTTTGCATTGCGATTCTCTCGTTGCGATAGTCATTTTCGCGTTGCGATTTTAAGTTTCAGATTATATTCTTCTTCTGCAAATTGAAACTTGAATGAATTGCATTACTTCAACCAAAAGACAAATACTAACTTCACAGTGTTGAAAATTTAAGTTTCAAGAATAAACTACTACTCTTTATGTTGTCATTGAACCTGCACTAAACCTATATGTTATCCTTTTAAATGTTTATATAAGTGCTTACTTCTGGAATGTTATCTGATGCATTTTGTGAACAATGATATAATAATGACTTGGGTGAATACCGTGCAAGTTTGAAATGTATTTGTCTTTGTTTTCACTGTTTAATATCATGTTTGTTTATTTACTGATTTATGTATTAATTTATTTTTAGCGGCCCGCTAAGGTGGATGCTCTACGTCGGGTTTTTCTTGCAAGACGTAGTTCACGCATCAGACGGCGTGCACGTGCCATTACGTCTCCGTTCACCCCAATAGTACAAAGAATCCGTAAGAAAAAGCCCGATTCACCTGTCATCGTTCAAGAGGCCTCCCCTATCGTTCAAGAGGCCCCTATCATCCCTCAAAAGTCCCCTCCCACCGTTCAATAGGCCACTGTCATCGTTGAAGTGGTCTCTCCCAACATTCTAGAACCCGATTCACACGGCGTAATATATCGAATTATTGAGAAGCCCCCTCACGTGCCGGACATGATGGATGATTGTTGGCTTTCGTATAAGTTACCGGCCAGTACCATTCCGGAAGATGAAGTGGAGAGGAAACAACTACCGGAAACAATTCTGGATAATACCCTTTGGGCTAAGACCGCAGTTGATTTTTATCTACATGAGCGGAGCCAAGGGTGTTACGCTGACATATACAAACTCAACGATGATATGCATTTGTTGATTGAACGGTCTTGGTGGGGTGTATTATTAGGGGTTGAAGACAACGACTATTTCGATGGGGGGTAAGTCTTATATTTCTTCTTATATTTCAG